CTCCAGAACTGGTTGATCTTTGCGGACGGGCTCGTGGAACCATGAACCTTCCAGCCCGTACGAAGATCATTTTACCCGTCCACTCTTCTGCCTAAATCCTGAACCCAGTGAGAGAATAACACTCACTGGTAGACTTTTCCATCCCGTTCTCATACTACAGGTGTCGTGCTCCGTGTTCAACACGGCCGGGATCGGCGAGTGTTTGTGGATGTTGGTGGTCGACTTGGCTTCCTGGGCTCCAGGCGTGGGAGTCGGATCAGGGCCTTCAGGGCTTCAGGGTATAGGATGGTGTAGCTGGGTAGGTCATGGGCTTTGGGGTCGGAGGGTTTATAGCTTATGACTTAAGGGTGGCCATATGGATTAAATGCAACGGTATAGCCGAAGTGAGACTTCAGAAAACATTGTGTTTGAGTGTTCTGTTTTCACCGAGGAATGGTGGTCCACTTAATTTGTGTGTATCTGTATATGTGTGTATATACACGCGCTGCCTGAATTGCTCGAGCGCGAGGGCTAAATTTACACATGCTGCCTCAAAGCCAACCATTGTTCTTGGTAGATTGGTTGAAGAGTTTCCTCTGTGGTTTACTATTCGGCTTTGGTAAGCAACTCACTCCTAGATGAAGGAACAAATCGAGCAGGGTACACAGGATCTCCCATACACTTGCTTGAGCTCTAAATGTCCGGGTGGGGGTGGGGTCTAAAAGCCCGTGTGTTAAACCTGGAGCCCTTAAACGCAAACCCAGACTCTAACACCCTAAAAGCGAAAACCCTGGAACCAACGACTCTAGCGTTTTCCGGACTTATTATCGGGGACTCAATAATGGGCCCCAGACCCCTCGGCAGCAGTCCTGTCGCAAATCCTGGAAATATGAAAAGTAAGAGGGTTTACGGGTTGCGGTTTATAACGGATCCCATCAAAGGCTGTCAGGCTGAGCTTTTCCAGGTTGCGCCATGTTCTGAAAATCCTGCCCAGTTCCTGAACCGACGGACCGCAAAACTCCACAGCCCTAAACCCTAAGCTCTGAAGCCCTGAGGAGTGCGAGCGTCGAAACCCTAAGGCCTTAGCTGTCGGAGGAAGGTAGGAGTTTCTTCGAGGATGATTTCCTAGAACGGGCTAGAATATCGAGGCTTACCATTCCTTGGGAGGTTTAGGGCTCCGGGCAGCCATCAAATTCCAAAAGTCACTCACAAGTACACCCGCAGGTACTGTAAGATCGGGAAAAGCCTTCCCAGCGTTGAACCTAAGCCCGAAAGCGTCAGCGGGAATTCTGAGGGCTTTCAACTGCAGGCATTCGCGTCGCAGAGGCTTGGACCTGCGGAAAGGAGCCGTGCTGAAGAACTTGCGGGTCGAATGCGAAGAGCGTGGGCAGCTGGTTCTGAGCGTGCAGTGTGTAGCTGGGGGCCCACGAGAGGAATCCTGAAATCGAAAAGATGATGGCCCGAAGAGTGTTCTTGGTCCTAAGTTCTGCTGAAGGCTTGCGGCCATGGGTGGGCTGTACTGCAAGCGTGCCAGCCGCATGCAGGATCACTTGACCAATGCCAGAGCTGGTGAGCTTCAGGAAATTCCATGGGCTCGTAGGAAAAGGGAGTACAATAATGAGGCAGGGGATGCGCAATAGCACGAGATCTTTTATTCTCTGTTAAAGGCCAGCTCGTATCCAACATCCATCCGCGGCTCGGCCACATGATTCACGGACAACCATGGAAAGCATCACATGCTCGTCCTATGGCCCTTTCTCAGCGCAAGCCCTTGAGGTTTCGGAATCGTGAGGCAAAGAACTAAGGCTCGAAGTATACAAATAATGATCACTTACACGGGGCATACACCCAAAACTCCATATACCCGAAAGCCTAAACGCTCAGTAAACCCTACTTTTGGGCTGTTTCCAGCGCCAGGGATCCAACAAATCCTACACGCAAGGTCGCAGAGAGCCGGAGACCCCCAAAACCCCAAATGCAAAACCCTTATGAGACCCGAGGTTTCGGATTTGCTCTTAGGCAGTCCCATATGCCTTGCGTAGCTGTTTCCTTGAAGTTTCTATGCCCGGAGTGGGCATGAGGCATGGAGGCGAAAAGGTGTAGCAGTGTTGGCCATGCAGCCAGTGCTTACGTACGTGATGGCACATCGTACAGAGCGCCTGCTTCGCTGAACTATCGCATGCAGGATCCGGAGGATGAGCAAAACCTGCACTCACACTATATTCAAGCCGTATTTCACATGTCATTGCTTGCATGCAGCACTATCACCCGGCACCCTGTGCGCATGAGACAATGAGCATGCCCTGAACTAGCAGCACGTTTTGATCCAGCGCCCTTGCTTGCCATGCCTTGTGCAAATGTGGCGTCGCATGCAGCGACCCAGGCGACTCCAGGCCGACGAGTCTGCAAAAGCCGTGTGATGCAGCAGAATTCGCAGAACATGCCTGAACTCCACACCGCAATGGCTCAAGTGGCTCAAGTTCACAGCCCTTCTATCGTCAGTGCGTTCTAGGATTCCACCATGCAGATGCCAGGAATATGGAGGCAAATGAATCTGTCCGCGAAGGTCACGCTCGTCATCGGCGCAGCGGCCCTTTTCCTCGGCACCAGCGTGCTCGTCATCGGACAGATGGTGATAGGCAATTCGGCGGGTTCCAACGATGTCTTGACAAATGGCATCATGGTAGACGGTCTTCGAAGCTTTACACTGTCGCCGAACGTTGTGAACCTCAGCGACACACGCACATTCTGGAACATGAAGTTCCTAATGTCAGATGGAACTTATGGAGCAGCAAGCAATTGCAGAGCCCACCTGGACTCACTTAACATCACCCACTTGGAGACTGGAAGCCGCGACTTTTTGACGTCGACTTGCTCCGGAGTAGCAGGATTTCGACCCACATTGATTACTTACAGCGGCGCCTACGCCCTTTACCAGCTTGGAGACTTCAGGCCTTACCATGACTGGGGCACATACAGCGTTACTAGTGATTTCGACACGTGGGTTTATGACGATACATATATGAGCGACGCTGAGGTGGGCGTTGTCTTGGTGGGCGGCATAGTGGGTTCTATTGGCACCTGTCTGTGCTGCATCGGATGCGTCCTCTGCTGTGTGTCCTGGTGTTGCTGCTGTCTAAGCGCTCAAAGTGCTCAGCCCGCAGTCGTGAACGGGGCTTTGCCACCGATGGTTGCTGCCGAGGTCGCTCCCCAGGCTCCCCCGTCCTACCAGGGCCGCGAGCCGGTCGTCGTCGTGATGGCCCAGGTGGTGGGACAAGAAGGAGGAAATCGGAATGAGCAGATGGCGTGAGAATGCTCAGAGCTTCGATCCGGTGTTTTTTCCTAATTTTCGCAAGATCTGAGCTACAGAGAACTGCAGCTCATCCGGATCGCAGAGGGGGCTCCGGGAGAAGCTTCGCCAAACGGCGAGATGCCCTGGGGTCTTGGTATCGACCCGAGATTGTCGTCAGAGGGTTCCCCGAACTGTCCTCTTGTGTCTAAACCCTGACGAGCCTTAGTTGGGCAATTGTGCTAATGCTTGCGTGGCATCAAGCAAAGCCACCGAAGCGCCGTTGCTTTTCCTCGTGGCCACCGGTCGTGTTGCTTTCGGCCTCCGTTGTTGAGGTTCATCATTTGGCAACTGCAGCGGCAACTTTCGTCACCTTCATTTCAGAGCAGAAAGGGGATGTGTGCATCCTGAGCATGTGGGGTGGCATGAGAGTAGGGAGTTTCTCGCCAATGCTGCCGGGTAGTGGAAGTTGAGCAAAGTGGGAAGGTTGCCGTGGCTCGAGTCTAACCGTATCAAACACACAGGAGCAGACTGTCGCTTTGCAATAGTACCCCTGCATAGTCATTATAGTCATCGTATACTCATACGATAGTATCCAAACAAATTCTAAATACAAAGTCTATTTATGGGCCCCTGTATAATCACACCCAAAATCTTGTTCTGAAAATAATGTTTGCTTGGCATCCCCATGTATAGGCATAACACAATAAGTGCAAATAGACTGATGAAGGCTCCTACATTGCTCACAATCAAAAGATCATGCCCACCAAAACTTGAGAAACTCGATTCTGTGACTTAAATCGAGAGGTGTACCACGGCAAAACAAATCTAGCTATAAAAGGCACCCTTTTCTATGTGAAGGGGCCCCTGAAGTAGCCGTGGTAGTTGCGCTGCTGAGTTCTGTTCGGCTGATGAGCCCGAGGGGCCTGGGCACTCTGGTTTGCAATACAAGGTGTATTCTGTTAAAGTTCTACGGTAGTTTTATGAGGATTGATTATGGTCCATGGTGTGTTGAGGTGTATAAGGGCTCAGGGTTTTGGGCTCCGAGGCATTCAGTCTTGCAAGACACCCGGGACGAGGTGGCCGCAGGTTTTCTGGGGTGTCTGAGGAGAATTAGGGATGAAAACGGACGGGATAATGTGTATGCATAACTGCCTACAGACATACATACAGACAGCACACAGACGTACATACGCACCTTGTAGACAGCTTCAAGGGCTTCTGTCTTGAGTTGGAGGCTTGAATATGTTGCAATGGATGCGTCGTCCACAGAGCCCCAGAGAATCCTCTCAGCTGCTTTTGGGCTCCTGCTGGCTTAGCCTTGAGTCTCCCGCCGCTCTTCTCCTTCGCAGCCATGGGCCCCATGAAGGCAATGAAGGCCTGGACTCGGACGTGCTTCGTGAGTGATGTGAGTGCAGTTGACCCACTGAGCGTGTCGCGAGGATTCCGGGGGGGGAGTGCGTGTTCCTGTCGTGTGAATTGTTCTCGTTGCGCAGCTTGCCAGGCGATGAAGTCCATGAAGGCGATGAAGGCGGCGCGCGCAGCTCCGAAGGGGGAGGTTGCCAACCAGCTGGCTACGAGCACGGGCTTGAAGAAGAGCGACGTGATGACCGTGCTGGATACCCTGGCCGACATCGGCACAAAGGAGTTGAAGAAAGCAGGCAAGTTCACCCTCCCAGGACTTGTGATGATCAAGACCCGCAAGAAGGCGGCCACGAAGGCCGGGAAGAGGATGATGTTCGGCAAGGAGGTGAAGGTGAAGGCAAAGCCCGCCAAGACCGTGGTGAAGGCATTCCCCGTCAAGGCCAGCGGCCCGAGCGAGCATCCTCCGAATGTTTCAACTCCGAAACCCTAGGGCCCTGAACAGCGTACCCCCTAAATCGGAGCAGATTGACATTGATTCTTGCATGCAAGCGTGTTGAGCGAGGACTTTGTTCGAACAGACTTGCTCAGGCTTGAACCCACCCGGCGTAAGCTCTAGAGTTTAGGGTTTAGGCGGTTTACAGTAGGAGTTTGGGAGGAAGTTGCGGTGGGCGGCACGAGAAATGTGAGTGCAGCAGGTGATTGCAGTGTCACACAATGTCTGTGGTCGGATATGTTAAGTCACCCTTCTCCTAGCCCTGCAAGGCCGTGAAGGACCAGTTTTGAGTCTGCGGCGATGGCTCCTTGAAGCGCCCAGCATCTCTCACGGGTTTTGCTGTGCAGTCGTTGCACTGGCTTTGCAGTCACGCGATCTCTCACCGAACAGAGAGAACGCACAAGTTTTGAGATTGCATTGAAGACGTGCGCGTGCTGCCAGATCTGCAATGCATCATGATTTCATGAACGGGAGGTCGAAGTCCAGCTTGTATCTCGGAGGTATGTATTGCAGTCTTCAGGCTTTTGCGTGTGTACACGCAAATATGATGTATAGACAGGGAGGTGCGCAACGGATGCGTGCAAAAGGGTTCTTTGGCTCTGATTGCCAGCAAGGCTGCCATGGATGTTGGCTCTGCTATCGGAGGGCATGCTTTTGGTTGGGACATGCAGCCCTACATGTCGGATTTAGAGTTTGGAAATGTTTGGAAGAGTTTAGGATTCAGGAGCTTAGCTACGAGCGAAGCTGGTTCTTAGGTCAAGCGTTGATGCGAGGCGAGGGAAGCGAAAGGTGTTCGGGGAGAATCTAGGGTTGGATCTCGTAGGATTTAGTAATTTAAGCAGGGTTTGGGGTTTAGGATGGTTTAGGGCCGTCTCAAGCCCTCCAGCATCGAAAACTGGCAGCAGGAAAGCCAAATGCGGCGGCTGCCAAGGGAGGCATGAATCCGAAGGGAGAAGATCAATCAGGCCGGGTGGCTCTGGCTTTGGTGGAACGGAAAACGTCGCTGTAGGATCAAAGGATATCAAAGGAATTTAGGTTTGGGGTATTTTGGGGTTGAAGGTTTGGAGGTTCAGGCTCGAAGAGCATTCAATGAGCCATTCCTCAGAAGGGTTTCTGCCGTAGGGTCGTTCTTTGGCTTAAGCCGTATTTGGGGGTTGAAGGTATCAGCCGCTCGGATCGCAGCCTTTACGGCCCCTAAAGCGTATGCGGATGGGGGACTGGACCGATACGAAGACTTCTGTCTACCCTAAACTTCAAACGATCCATCCTAAACTTCAATATCCTGAAGTTTCTGAACATCCGCCCGGACATTGACAGGTGAAGGCCCGCCGACTTGCACAGAAGTGCGCAGGGGTTTATGCTCTTGGGGTGTAGGGGAGCTCAGCTTTCGGGGTTAATGCATTTAGGGGAGCAGGCCTTACGGCTTTAATTATGGGTTTAAAGCTATGCAGGGATTAATGCAGGTGAAAAAGTAGTCCGGATAAAATGGCTTGGGCTTTACGGGCTCAGGGTGGGGCCGTAATTCAAAGCGTCGTGATTGCCGCAGGCATTCTAACGGCCTGATGCAGCGATGCATTCATGTTTGTTCAGATAAGCGTCGGGAAAGCACTCTTTAAAACAGGAGCTGTGGCACCAAGTGTGGCATGTAGCATCAGTGCGGCATGTTGCATTATTCAACAGGCTGCAACCCGTGGCTGGCCGCATCCGCCTTGTTCCGGAGGCTTTGGCTGAGGGCTCACAACTGGCCGGGATCCCAGCCAAGCGTTGTTTGGGCGGTTGGAACCTGGCGAGCAGCTCGGCCCCCGGCCTTGTTCCATTGCTGCAGGAAGGCATCACTCCAAACATCGAGCGGTAGCTTGGCTCTCAGGTTCGTGAATCTCAACTGGCCAGAGCATTCAACGGTTAAGCTTCAAAGACATCTCGTTTCTTCGGGCTTGAGGCTGAGACTCCTGAGCAAAAGAACGTCGGTGGCCCAGTGGTTGCTCGGGGCTTCCCGACGATCGTCGCTCAACTCTGATTTGCTCCTCTTGGCCATGGCTCGAGAAGCGTTGGCTGCTTTGTCATGCGTGCCCACACCTCGACACGTTGCCGGGTGATGAGATGGTGATGAGTATCTACTAGCATTTTGTTTAAGTTACGACTTGACGTCGTCCTCGCATGCTGCCATGCCGTACCGGGCAGATGTTATTGGGCCTCCTGGTTAAGCTTCAAAATATGTCATCGTCGGTGTTTGATGTGCCCTAAAGCCTAACCTCGAAAACCCTGCACCGTAGCTCTTGTTGCCGATCCTCCAACCTCATCTTGAGGTACGACCAAGAATCGGTGTTCAGCCCTGTGATCTTTCAAATTCGCGTTGCCTATGACACTGGCGTCCACTTTGTGTGGCACAGATACAATGCCTTCAAGCAGCTCTCTGCCTACTTGAGCCACCGCTTTCCAGCGCTGCCGGCTTTGCAGGGAGGCTCGAGCTCGCCCAAAGCATCGGGTCAACTTGCAGAGAGACCAAAACACCTGCAAGAGCCTCGTGTGTGTGTGTGTGTGTGTGTGTGAATATTCCTCAGACTGTAACAGCAAGCCTGGCGGCTAAGAGTTTCTGCTCTATCGTCGAATCCTTGGTACCCTTCGTTTCCATCCTAGTGGAGTTTGTTACACTTGAACTTGTAAGTTCAGACCACATGCGTAGCAACATCCGGCTGAGTCGAGAGCTCAGGCGACTCGCTGGTCGCCAAGAGGGTTTTAGGATTTAGGGATGGAGGGTTTAAGCCCCGCCCGCTCACGATACAGTGCCCGGCCATTCCGTTACGCCACTCAACCCTCACCCTTCGCATCCTTGGAGGCCACCTTTGGCAAAAGGCCGTGAACTCTGCTGGCTTCTTGAAGTCTCGACAACAATGCCTTACCAGCTTCTTGCAAGCGGCCTTGACAATTGATGCAGATGTGGAGGCCTTTGGACCATTGGGAGGGAGGAGTGGAGTACGACGCACTGTCGACGGCCCTTAAAGAGATCTGTGCAAACTCTCATGCTGATGCTCTTGTTCAATGCCTTGCTTGGCAGTCTGCGGTGGTGGGAGACACTGGGGGATTAGCAGTAACAGTCTCTGGAGAGGCTTCGCACTCATGAAAGCGGAGCAGAGGGTTGCTGCGAAGACTCTCGGGGAACCTGGGAGGGAATCAAGCACCCATCCCCGCAAATACACCGCCAGGCCCAAGTATTCTCTTGATGTCCCAGAGGTCGACGTTGAGTGGAATGAAGTGGTCCGTAGGGGTGGTTGAACGGGGGGTGGGCTTGTGCCATACGGGTGTAGGTCGTACCCGACCTGAATAAACTTGATGAGTCCGATGTGCTCCTGTGGATGATCCCAGCGGAAGCCTCACCATTCACCAGGGTATGTAGAAGGCATGCGGAAGGACTGACGCAAGACTGGGCAATCGTTACGGGACACGACTCGACGACTCTTGGTTTTGAGAACGGCCCTAAGCCTCAAACCCTGCAACAACAAACCTAAAAGCTAAATCCATGGTGGGTTCTGAACAAGGCCGGCGAAGTTTCCTGCAGGAAGTCACTACACACACTAGTTATATATATATATATATATATATATATATGTTATATATTATGTGTATATATATATATATATATATATACACATAAGATTTTATGATACATTCTATCACCTTATATGTGATTGGTAGCACGCTAGCAATACTGATTATTTGCTCGCCTATTGTTAACCACTACCACTACTACCACTACCACTACGACGACGACTAGGACTACTACGTACTACTGCAAACCTTGTTGTCGATAGCGCCATTACTACTACTATTGCTTGCATTAGTACCGATCCCCGGGGCCCCAAACACCAGTTGCCGTGAGGCCTTGCCTCTTTCTCGCAAGTGCGAGAGCCATACAGCGAAACCACCCTAAACCCGAAACCCCAAGCAGTGCGACCTAGTCACCGAAGCTAGGGGGGGACCAAAAACGATTGCAAAAATGCTGCGAAGCCTACGACGTCCTTTGTGCTTGCGATTCGAGAGCCCTCTGCAGGATGTCATCCTTCGCGAATTCCTGGGCATCGCATCTCCTGCGTTAGCGGAGCTGTCGGAAGCTCCTTTGCGGCCCGGTCGGAGTTAGAAGGCGGCGTTGTGTAGGACGTCGTTTCCTGTTTCGAAGTTGCAATATGTTGCAATTACGTAGGGTACCCTAACATAGATCCTACAGCGTCCTTTCTATGGATCTCGAAATACGGGACCCCTAACAGACATCAGCCCTCGACTCTTAGATACTTGAGGCTCTACGCCCCAAAACTGCCCAGCTACCTCTTGCCTGCTCCGAGGGAGCTAGAGAGCTCGGAGCCCAGTCGTGGCCGATCTTGCTCGAGCTTGGAGCCTTGGGCAAGCAGAGGATGCCGGAGTTCAGGGGTTTCAGGAGTTATGACTTCTAAGGAGTTCACGGTTTAGGCTTTTTGAACTTTGTGGTTCTCGTCTCCCACACACACACACACACACACCTGTGCGCCAGAGCGTTCCTTTCTGTAATGGAAACTTGGTATAGGAATTTTCAGGTTGTGGGCAGGATTTGTTGTGTGTGGTAGGATTGCTCGAGCCGGCGCTGTGCCGAGGACAAGTTCTCTGCTCGCCCAAACTTACAGCGCCACTCTTGCACAGGCTCCGGAGTGCCAGGGCTCATGCAAGTTGCGGATCTTGCCAGAGAGAGAGTGACAGGGACATCTTGCAGTCTTGCGGCCCAGCCGCTGCAGGAGCCTTCCGAGCTGAAGAAATGTCGATATGCAGCTCAGCTGAAACCCGATCTTCCCTTGGCCTGCCGAAGATTGCTTCGATTTGTTGCTGGAGCATGTGAGGCCGCGTCAAGCGCTGCCTGTCTTCCCCGCTTCCGGCCGACGATCAGCTTGAGGACTGCTTGAGCCGGTCAGCCTCGTGTTGCAAAAGGGTCTAAGTCTACACCGATGCTTGTTGTTACACAGCAGCAGAGCTGGCCTGTCGCTGCTGTCATGAACACATGTATGTGGTGGGCCATCAGCTTTCGGTGGCGCTTGCTGCGAAGGAAGCCTCCCACTTGCTGGCCAACAGCCGGTTCAACGAAGCTGCAGCAGCCAAGCTTGCAGAATGTTGCGTTGACACGTAATTCACTCAATTCAACCCCAGAGTCCCAGAGTGCTGCTGCATGCTGCGGCTGTTTAGGCAGAACTGGGTTTAGCAGCAGCCTTTTCTGCTTCGTACTGTAACAGCACAGTCCTGTTCAAACGACATGAAGGGCAATGAACGGGAT